GAATTTTATTGTTGTTAACAACCATTTGATCAATAAATATGAGAGATGCCCTCTCAAAAAAAAAGGAAAAAAAAACATAGAAAGCAAAACTTCTATCAGCTGGAATTTCAGAATGTGTGACTTTCTAGAATCTGGAGAATTGCATTAGCTACTCACCCTAACATCTGCTAGTCTACACATAAATGGCAATACCTACATTTCTGGGTGCAACTGGTTCTTTATATTGATCAAAACACAAAGTCATACTGGTATAAGAACCTGGACAGGTAGTGGCATGTTAATTCCCATTTCCTACTTAGCTGTGCCCAGAACCTGCCCCACTTGCTACCCAAAACAAAATCTAAGAAACTGAATTTATCAGCCTGGCTAAGACACGGAGCACCACCTGCAAAGACGAGTAAGTCTCTCCTCTACCACAGTAGTTGAATGAGCCTAATACAAACACATTCAATCTGCCCAGTGGGATAGCAGAACTCATATACTTCCCTACCCTGGCTGATGGCTCAAACTTTCTAAAAGTGGATATTCCCTTTCGATCCAAAATCAGAAATACAGAACCCAAATGACCGCTGAAGAAAGTAACATACTGACTGAAGTTTAGTATAAATTCTCAGTCCCATCGTTTCTTGCCATCTCAAACATTTCTGGCCTGTAGCTGCCACCCACCCTGCCCTAACACTTTGGTGCACCTGTCCCCTCTCCACTAGATCATCCCCTTTGGCACACTAGCATCAGTTACATTCCCAAACATAACTCTTCCCTTGACGCACATTCACCTCCCATCACCATGTCACTTCTGAGTCCCTGTACAGAAGAAGTTCTTGAAAGATGGTATCAGGGTTGCTATCTCTGCTCATGTGCTTTCCTCAGACCACTCCCCCTGGGCCACCATCTCCACTATTCCACTAAGATTGCATTTCTCAAGTCACCAAGGACCTCCCTGTTGCCAAACCCAGTGGTCACGTCTTGGTTCTCATTTTACTTAACCTCCCAGCAACATTCAACACAGCTGACCATTCTCTTCTTGAAATGTTCATTTCTCTTGGTTCTGTGACACCAGTTTCCTGGATTTTTCTCCCATATTAGAAGCTGCTCCTTCTCAATTGCCTTTGCTGGTTCCTATTTTTCTGCTTTACTTCTATATACTGGTGTGCACCCAGGGTTCTATTCTGGGCTCATTTTGCTGCTTCATCTACACATTCTCCTCAGGGATGGTTCTCCCTCATTCTCCTCATTCACGGTTGCAAATGCCATCCATATGTTGATAATTCCAAAATTTACATCCTCAGCCATGTTCCCAAGAGCCTCAGATTTATACATCATATTGCAAACCTTATCATCTTCATTTAAATATCTAACAGGTATCTCAAACAGGACATCACATACTCTCCCTAAAGCTTGCTCTTTACCAAGTCTTTGCCACTGAGTAAATGACCTCACCATCTCCCCAGCTGATCAGCCAAAATACTAGGTTTGCATTTGATTCATTCTTCTATCACATATGTCAAATCTAATCCATTAGCATGTTCTCTGGACTTCCCCTCCAAAACATCCTAAGCTTGAATATTCAACTCTCCACTTCACTCTTCTCCCATTAGTGCAATAGGTTAATTGCACTAATGGCTCTACATTTTCATACCTCCCTGTATCTTTTTACACCTGTCTGTATCCCTGCCCTTCGGCAAAGCCCTCCCACACTAACTGTGGGTGTACATCCATTTAACTTGCCTCGACCAATGGGACAACAGCAAACTTAACACAAGCTAAGACTTAAAAATCTGCTTACTTATTTCTACCTCCTCTCTTGTTTCTTTGCAATCACCATGAGACTATAACTGAGCTAGTCTGAGAATAAGCCCAGGCTAGTCTACTAAAGGGATATAACATAAGCACAGAAGAGAGCAAAGTTGTCCCAGCCATCTCAGCTGAATATCTCACTGCAGACCTTCAACAGTCAACTGGCCCTCCCAAACACAACAGAGAACACAGGATACATGACAGAGCTCTATTCCTGACCCACAGCTGATCACAGACAAATGGGCAAACCCTGTCAAGATCAGCTGGGCCTGGTCCAAACCAGCAGAACTACCCAGCCACCGCATCAACTCACCAGCAAAAGTAAGTCTTTACTACTGTATGCCACTGAGTTTATGAGATGTTTGTTACAAGGCATTACTGTAGCAATAACTGATACAGCCACCAGCATCCCTTGTCCAGACTACTGCATAATTCTCCTAATAGGTCTCACTACTTCCTTCCTTATCTTATAATCTGTTCTCTATTCATCAATCAATACAACCTTTAAAAAAAAATCAGTTCATGTCCTCAGTCCTGCTTAGAGCCTCCAATGGCTTCTCTGTACTTACATTAAAACCCAATCTCCTTAACTTAGCAAATGACCTACTTGTCCACCCACATCTAGTCACCACTCTCCAGATGACCCACTATTATTTGATCATACCAGCCTTCTTCCTGTTCTTCAAGACAGCAAACTCATGTCACAGTGGGGTCTTTGCACATGATGTTCCCTCTACCTAGAAAAGCATTCCACCTGCTCTTTCTCATTCTTTGTCTAGCCAACAACTTCTTGCACCTCGAATTTCAGTTTAAGTGTCACTTTCACAAAAAGGCCTTCCCTTGACTAGCCAATCTAAAGTATACAAACTTTTTTAATTCTTTGCATGATACTTATCACTAGATGACTTTTTATTTCATTTTTTTGTTGTTGTTTTTTTTACTGTGTGTTCTCACCACTGATTAAAAGCTCCATACAAGAAGAAACTTAGTCTATATATTCCCCACTGGATCCTTAGCTCCTAAAATAGTTCTACACATAGCATACTTTTTAAGTATTTGATGAATGCTACTTGACTTACCGAATAAATGATTGATCAGATCCTCTCTGAGAGCAGGGTTTTTTTTAGGGAGAAGGAGTGAAGCAAGCTGAAATGGCAAAGGAGAAAAGACAGATTGATTTCAAGAGGGAATTTCAGAAACACAGAAAATATTTCACCTAATATAAAATGAAGTTAAGAGTTTGGGCTCTGAAAGTAGCCTAGAATGGATGCCTTGTTCTGCTTCTTCCTAGCTGTTTACATATGAACATGATGCTCACCTCTCTGAGATTATTTCCTCATTTATAAAATGGGGTTATAATTACTACTTCATAGAGTTGATGTAAAAATCAAATAAAATATATATAAAGTGTTTAGCATGGTAGTGGATCGTGGTAATTACTCAATATAAGTGATGACAATGATGGTGGTAGTACCTAAGTCAGCCTTGATATTATTGATTAAATTGGCATAACGCATAGTATCTCACACAACCTGTTGAGACTACCTAATTTTTTTTCAATTTCAGGCATTTCAAATTGTACCTTATCACCAAGAATAGAATGAACATGGTACCTAAAGTCAGCAGAGCTGAGTGTAGGCTCTGGTTCTCTACTTACTAGCTGGATGCCCTTGGATAAGTCACCAACTTCCCAGAACTGAAAGTTACTTATTCTCTACTGTAGGACCAGTGGCCAGCAGTACCCAAAACACTATCAGAGTATGAGTTTGCTCCATGCTTGTTGAATGAATGAATGAATGAACATATTTGGGAATAGCTGGGTTAAACAATGTCAAAATGGTTTCCTGTGTACATTTCTCAGAGCCTTTTACACGAGTGGGCTCTATGAATCATACAGAATGCAGTGTTTCCCAACCTTATTTGATCATAGAACTCATTGTTTCCCCTGAACCTCATTAACATCTCCCAGAGTTGTAGTATTCCATAAAGCAGTTTGAGAAACATCTTAAGCTTACATGCTTTAAGTCATTTTTACCATTATGAAATAAATAAGTTATCTTCTTCTTTATACATAAGGTCATTAAAAGGCCAATTAATTTGATTCATATCTAGGATGCAACTGTTTTCTTCGAGCTTCATACTTTCATTGTGTTATCCCTTCTGTCCACATCCTTAGTCTTCTTATGAACTTTCTTAAACTGTTTTAATTACTTCTCTTCTCCTTTTACAATGTTTCAATCTTGTAATTTACTATATCACCCCACCTCTGAAAAGTTTTCAAAGTACTTCTCCCTTTTATAATAAAGGCTGTTCCTTCTCTCCCATTCTCCACACAGGACGCTCCTTAGGGCCATTCCTTAATCTTAATATAATCATGTCAAATGTAATCTGGGTTCCCTCTTCCCTTCCCACCACTTATTTCCAAGTGCCTGAGCAAGTAAACACACCAGGCCTTTACATATCTCCAAGCCATTGCTTGAGTTGTTCCCTCTGCGTGGAAGAGCGCCTGTTGAAATCCTATTCATTTTTAAGGTCCTGATCAAAAGGTAATCTCTTTTATAAAGTCTCCCTTATTTTCACTCCTGCCATAATTAACTACTCCTTTAACTACTCCAAGGCAATTGTCCAACTTCTCACAGACACATAAAATTAGTTGAATATATCAATGCAGAGGTGGCAGAGTTGGGAGAGAAGAACATGTATCAGGTGAGCCTATCAGCAAGGATGAACAAGAGGCTGGTGGCAAGAGGAGAGACCAAGATGGTAGGTGTGTGAATGGCCTGAACTCCAAAAGAGAAAGGCTCTGACGTGACTTACAAGTATCAGAGAGAAGCCAGGGCAAGGCTACAGCAGAGAACTGCAGGGAAGGGAGTGTTCCCGTTGTGTGAGGAGGCTGGAGCATGGGAGAGCTGATTCACAATGGAACAATGCCCTCAGAGGGCCTCCGGAAAGATCTGGGAAGGAAGCCAGGACAAGGATGGAAGCTCGGAATGATAGGGGAGTTGAGAGCACCAAGACTGCTGATCAGAAATGTTGGAAACCAAGAGAAGTGGGGATAAGAGGCAAAGCCTTAATCTAAACTGGCTGGGATCCAGGATGGTGTCAGAGGCCAGATGAGTTTATCATTCAACAGTCTTTGATAAGCATTCAAAAGCAGGTTGATGAGTAATTTTTCTAATGTCTACAAAGAACAGATTTCTCTAATGCTCCACTTAGGGCACAACCCTTCTCCCTGTGTGTGGGTTATGCCATGGGAGACAGGGTGAGGGAGTGGGCATAGCGTCTCCCTTCACCAAGGCAGGGCTTCCGGACCTAAAAGCGAGCTGAACAGGCACAGAATCTGCAGGGATCACAGGCCTCCACCCACAGTGCAGGCAACAGGAGGCGCCCAGGCCCAAGAAGCAGTGGGCTCAACCGAAGGGCAAACAGAGAATGTCAATGGGGACTCCAAGACAAAAATCCTCATATTTTGAAAAGTGTACATATTAGGCAGGACTCTTTTGATTGCACATAACTAGATTCAAGCAGACAACAACAAAAGGAATGTATTGGCTCACATAACTGAGAAGTCCTGGGATGCTTCAGGCACATCTGAATCCTGGAATTCAAATGGTGCTGTCTGTGCTCACAGCATTGTTCACTATTGCTTCTCACTGCATGCCATCCTCACTCATTCGTTCCCACTTCAAGCAGCTTCCTTCATGCAGCAGGGAAAGACAGAAACCAGGAGCTCCAGGTTACCTCACACCAGCAGCAGAGGAAAAGAATGCCTCTTTTCCTAAACTGGCGCAGAAAAGGAGCCTGAGCAAGCCTGGGTCACATGCTAACCTCTGAGCCAATCACCTGGTCAGATGGAAGCTCATCTCAGACTGGCCAAAGCTGAGGCACTTGACCACCCCTGGGCTCGTGTCCACCCCACTCAAGCTACATGAGCTGGGAACAGAGAAGTTCCCCAAAGGAAGGAAGTCTGGGCAAACAAATAGTAAGTCCATGTCAGTGTGGTCACTTGTCAGTCAGGCCCCAGATACCAAAAGAGAAGGCCAGTCCTGCACTTACAGCACAGAAAGGCTTTGAAGTCAGAACAGGTTTTAAACTTCAGCTTTGACACTTACTAGCTGTGTGACCTCAGGTCAATTACTTAAATTCTCAGTGCCTCAGTTTCCTCCCTATAAAATGGGACTAATAACAGTACCTACATCCTAGAGATGTTTGGGGAAATAAAATGAAATAGTGCACATAAATTGCTGAGTACAATGCTTGACACAAAGTAATCAATAAATGGTAGCTATTATTAGTAATAATAACAATAACGACAACTATTATTATTTAGAACAAGGGTACTACAGGAAGGGTGAGCTGTGACTCAGTGAAACAGACAGCCATGTCAGCACCTGGATAAATCAGTGCTGGGTCAAATTTCATTAAGGGCAACTCAGGACACAATACAGAGACCCAAGTGAACACTGAGGTAACAACTCAAATCAATAAATATGTTGAGCACCTATTGTGTGCCAGGCACTGGGGATAGTTAACTACCATCAAGAGTGACTATGGCTTTGTGGCATCATTTGGGAGGAGCAGAGGTTGACTGAAGCTGTTGCGTTACTTTCAGCTAAGGACTGCGGGCACTGGCAAGGTGCTGAATGTAGGAGGGAACAGTGCCTAGGTCCAACTGGTGGGATGCTAAGAAGGAACAGAAGGGCCACCACCATCCACCTAAAAAATGTCTTTGCATGAATTAAGAAAAAGTGTCTCTTCCTTTAAAAACCTTACTTCCATTTTCCAAAAAATCATCACAGTAAATAAACAAATCTACTAGAACTACAATGTGAAAGATATCCTAGAGTTCTACAGTGTAACCTGAACAACGGTACAAGGTAGCCCTGGGCACAGACAGGGAAGATGAGATAGGGGCTGAGACGGGTCAGAGGACAGAGGTGGAGATGGATTATCTGGGAGTCCCTGGGCCTTCAAGACAAAATAACCTTTGCAATAAGAGTTGCAGTCTTCAATAGAGCTGGCAGCTAGTCACCACAAAGAGCTACTGAGCACTTGAAATGTGGCTACTGGAACTGGGGAACTAATTATCTCTTAATTAATTTCAATTTAAAATTTACAACTGAAGCAGTATACAATAGTTTTCCATCACTCACAACTTTATTGTTTGGTAGGGCTACATTTCACTTTACCCACTACACTGCGTAAGATCCTGTACTGCATTGTACTGCATTGCTCACATCAAGCTCCAGAGTTTGTCTCTGGTATCTCATTAATATTTTTTATGTGTTTCCATGGTGAAATTGTATTTTTTATATACCAGATTACACAAAATGTACTATTAAAATTAATTTAACCTGGTGCGTTTTGCTTTTTTAACGTGGCTACTACAAACTTCTAAATTACATACCTGGCTCACAGAATATTTCTATTCAACAGTGCTGCTGCAAAGACATCTTGGGCGCTAAAGGGTTAAGGGGGTCGGTGTTAAGGGGGTTACCAGAGGAAACTGTTGTTTTTGTTTGTTTTCTTCCAGGTTTTCCAACCTGGTAGAGAGGGAGAGGAGCACAGCTCAGTGTGTACCGCTCAGCAGAGCTCTAAGAGTCTGCTTCGGAGTCAGACTGTATTGTTTGTTCTGCATTCTGGCTCCACCACTCAACCGAACCTTGAATCTCCCTGAGCTTTGGGCTCCTTATCTGTAAAATTCTAAAAATAATCTTGTCCACTTCGTAGGATTATCAGGAGGATTAAATAAGATAATCCACATAAATCCATGTAGTTTACCATGAAGCCTGGCATATTTTATGTGCTCAAAAACCATTAACCATTTGGGGGCAGGTGGGGCATTACTGGGGAATAAAGAAGGTGCCAATGAATGGTCTCCCTGTATCATTAAGCTTAGCTCACCATAGTGTGAACTAAAGGAAAGCTGGCCACCATACTAGGACCTTAGGGACTACCATTATTTCCAAAGCCTAAGTATTGAAGGTTTCATAACTCTGGGAGTCTCAAAATGACCCCCCAAGAGAACTTAAACTTTCTAACTTTGTAATACGATCTCTTACTTAATGTATCTACCACCACATCTGTTCTCTAGTGTCTGGATTTCTGCTCAAGGACCCAAGATAAGCAAGAATGTCTGCCAAGTC